GGAGGGATGAAGGCCGAGGTACCTGTGTGATTGCCCCCGACATCAAATAAAGATGCCGGAGGGATGAAGGCCGATGGGCCTGTATGATAGCCCCCGACATCAAATAAAGATGCCGGAGGGATGAAGGCCGAGGGACCTGTGTGATTGCCCCCGACATCAAATAAAGATGCCGGAGGGATGAAGGCCGATGGGCCTGTATGATAGCCCCCTGCATCAAATAAAGATGTCGGAGGGATGAAGGCCGAGGGTCGTTGTGATGTGGAATCATGCTGAGGCCGAGGGCCGTTGGTGATGTGAGATCACGCTAAGGCCAAAACCATTATGACATAGGGTCATGTTGAGGCCGAGGGCCGTCTGATGTTGAGGCTGAGGGCCATTGTGATGTCCTCACGCTGAGGCCGAGGGCCGTTGTTGATGTTGAGGCCGAGGGCCGTCTGATGTTGAGGCTGAGGGCCATTGTGATGTGAAATCACGCTGAGGCCGAGGGCCGTTGGTGATGTTGAGGCCGAGGGCCGTTCTGATGTTGAGGCCGAGGGCCGTTGTGATGTGGAATCACGCTGAGGCCGAGGGCCGTTGGTGAGGTGAGATCACGTTAAGGCCAAAACCGTTATGACATAGAGTCATGTTGAGGCCGAGGGCTGTCTGGTGTTGAGGCCGAGGGCCATTGTGATGTTGAGGCCGAGGGCCGTTGTGATGTGGAATCACGCTGAAGCCGAGGGCCGTTGTTGATGTTGAGGCCGAGGGCCGTCTGATGTTGAGGCCGAGGGCCATTGTGATGTGGAATCATGCTGAGGCCGAGGGCCGTTGGTGATGTTGAGGCTGAGGGTCGTCCTGATGTTGAGGCGGAGGGCCGTTGTGATGTGGGATCACGCTGAGGCCGAGGGTCGTTGGTGATGTGAGATCACGCTAAGGCCAAAACCGTTATGACATAGAGTCATGTTGAGGCCGAGGGCCGTCTGATGTTGAGGCCGAGGGCCATTGTGATGTCCTCACACTGAGGCCGAGGGCCGTTGTTGATGTTGAGGCCGAGGGCCGTCTGATGTTGAGGCCGAGGGCCATTGTGATGTGGAATCATGCTGAGGCCGAGGGCCGTTGTGATGTGGGATCACGCCAAGGCCGAGGGCCATTGGTGACGTGGAATCGAATTGAGGCCGAGGGCCTTTCCTTGATAGTTCCAGGAGTCCTCTGGGTGTATGTTCCTTCTTTCAGGCATCGACCGAGGGGTTGATTCCCCGCCTCGGCCGAAAGGAGGTCCAAGTGATCCGTCCGGGAGTTCGTCTGTTAGTCCCCCGGCGCTGGGCCGTCCCTTGATTGTGCCAGGAGGTCGTATGTTAGTCCTCCTGATGTGTGTTCCTTCTTCTAGGCTTCGGCCGAGGGGTTGATTCCCCGCCTCGGCCGAAAGGAGGTCCAAGTGATCCGTCCGGGGGTTCGTCTGTTAGTCCCCCGGCGCTGGGCCGTCCCTTGATTGTGCCAGGAGGTCGTATGTTAGTCCTCCTGATGTGTGTTCCTTCTTCTAGGCTTCGGCCGAGGGGGTTGCTTCCCCGCCTCGGCCGGAAGGGGGTCCAAGTGATCCGTCCGGGGGTTCGTCTGTTAGTCTCCCGGCGCTGAACCGTCCCTTAACCTTGGGGGGTCCCGTCGTCTATTTACGGCGCGGGCTAGGCTTGGTCGGTTTCCGACGACTGCCGTTTCACCCCCAAGTTTGGGGATTTCGTCACCTCAACCATTCTTTCAGGCCTGTCGCCGTGCGTTGCGCGCCGGCGACGCGGCGAGCGTCCCGCTCCAAAAACGCGGGCCTTTTGCAGGCCCCTCGTCTTTAGAAACCATCGGCCATACCTGGGCATTTGGCCTCGAAGGGGCCGATAAGATGTCTGGATTGTGTTGTAGTTTACTTAAATTCATAGAAATAAGCGGAATACAAGGGGTGCGTTATTTGACAACGGCTTTGTTAAGATTCACCGCTCAAGGCCGAGGGCTCTAGGCCGAGGGGATGGTAATGTGCCTCGAGGTCGAGGGCCCAAGGCTGAGACTAACGCCGAAGGTGAGGAAAATGATTAGCGGAGGTGGCACTTCTTCGGCTGGGGCTCCTCGAACTCCTCTCCGTCACTGAGCCTCCCGATTTCATGTTTCTTTGTTGCGATGTCCCCTTCTTCTTTATCGGTGTTCTCCCCGGTGTTTTTCCTTGGGGCATTTTTGATGAATTGGTGGAGCTCACCCCGTTGAATTAAGAGTTCAATAGCCTTCTTTAACGAGACACAATCGTCTGTATTGTGGGAGGTGCTTTTGTGGTAACGGCAATAAGTGCCGCCTTGGTGGATGGCGTAGATCTCCCTCGCCGACCGAGGGTCCTTGGGGAAAAGGTCCTGCTCTTCCGCATAGTTGAGGATAGTGCTCACCGGGTGCGTGAGGGGAGTCCTCGGCATGTCCAGCCGAGGGCGCCATTGGCGTTCGTTACGGCCCTGCTGGGTGTGGCTTCCATGGTCTCGGCCTCCGGCCGAGGGCACATTTGGGGCCGGCGTGTTGTTTATCTTCTTCGAGGACTGGCCCTCGTTCTTCTTGAAGGAGTGGAGGTCGTCGGCGTCGGCGTATAGGCTCCCCCGCTGGAGTGCTCTGAGGTATGATCTTGGGGGGTCGGTGATGAGGCTCCGTGCGTAGGGGCTGCTGCGGAGAACCCCCTGGAAGAGGACGAGGAGGGTACGCTCATCGGCGCCCTCGACCTCGTCTGTCTCCTTCATCCACCGGTCAATGAAGGACCGAAGTGTTTCGTCAGGTTGTTGCTTGACGGAGAGGAGCTGGGAGAAGTGCTTTCTCGCGCGCTTCCTTCCGGCAAAATGGGTGAGGAAGCGTTGGGCAAGATCTTGCCAAGAGTCAATGCTGCCCTCGGGCAATCGATTGAACCATTCGTATGCTGGTCCCTCCAAGGTGGAAAGGAACCAACGACATAAGTATTCATCTGATGCCCCCATCATCATCATGCTGTTTTGATACCTGTTGTAGTGCTCCTGGGGGTCAGTTTTTCCTTCATAGGGCTTGATGAGTTGCCCTCGGTACTTTTCCGGGATTTGGGCCGCCAATACCCTTGGGGTGAATGGCGTCCGGGTCCGGAGCTGGATGATGGGTTCCCCGGAGCCCTCGGCTACCTTCTTCTGTAATTCCTCCATTTTGGCCATCATGGCCTCGTATTTGAGGTCTGAATGAGGGGTGGAGGTGGTGGCGTGAGCTTTGTCGGCCTCCATTTCATCAAGTCGGCGTTGGAGGGCCGCAATAATTTCGTCCCGGGGGTCCTTCGGGAGGGTCTCCGCCCCCTGCGAACGAACCCGAGCCGAGTGGGCCTGGTTGATCTGGTGGCGAGCATCGTCGGCATGAAGGGGTGCCTTGCCTTTGTCCCGAGGGGGACGCTCCTCGTCTGCCCTCGAGACAGACCCTCCGCTTTCTTGGGGCCCTCGGCGGTCTTGCCCCCCTCCGAGCCGGTTGAGGGCGGAAGTGCGGGGCCTTTCTCTGTTGTCATTGTGGCGGTCCCGGGACTGAACTTCCTGGGAGGCCGTGTCTTGGGCCACTACCCCTTCGTCATTCCTAACCCGAGGGATGGGGTTTCCGAAGGGGTGTGGCAGAGGGGGAAGTACGATGTTCTCCCCAACCTGGGGTTGAGCCGGAGCCAGGGTGCCGAAGGCACCCGGGTTTTGAGTTAACGTCTGGATGAAGGCGGAGAGTGCCGAATGAACGTCGATGGTGAGGACCGGAGGGCTGACTTGGTCATCGCTCCGGTTTTTCTTCTTGGCCTCGATGCCGAGGCGGGCATCGGGGGCATTCTGCTTTATATGAAGGCGTAGGTCGACAGCCGCCTGTTCCAGCCCAGCGATGACACCGCCCTTGGGAGCCTTGTGAGAGGCTTCGGGGGCGTTGACGTCGCCGAGGGCCAGGTTCTTGTCTTCTACGTTTTTGGAGTTGACACGTGTTGTTCTCACCATTTTGGTAGAGGGCTAGTGTTTGGCGAAGGGGGAGGGTTTCTTACTTGATCGTTCGACCTCTCAACAAGAGCACCAAATGATGGATAGTGTACCCGGGGGGTAGCTTATCCGAGGGGTTATTGCGGAGAATAACTAGAGAGAAGTCAGAGCAAACAAGTAAGAGAGAGAGTGTATATTCGATATGTATTAAGCGTGGTTTACAATGAGGGAAAGGGGTGCTATTTATAGTAGTAATAAATGCTAGATAAGGACACGTGTCAGTTTTCTAGTGGTCGAGGGGTCACCTCGACCGGGGTGGCACTGGCACTCACATGTGGCCGCATTAAATGCGGTGGTTGGATGTGACGTTTGTACTTGGTACGGTGATCCAGGCGCATGTGAAGAGGATATTCTGTCGAGGTGGATGCCTTCGGCTGAAGGGTGCTGGGCCGAAGGCTCTTCTAACCGAGGGCTCCTACCTGCCGAGGGCTGCAGGTGCCGAAGGCTTGGTTTTCAAGCCTTGTTCTCATGTGATGCCTCTTCTAACCGAGGGCTCCTACCTGCCGAGGGCTGCAGGTGCCGAAGGCTTGGTTTTCAAGCCTTGTTCTCTTGTGATGCCTCTTCGGCAATTTTAATACATTGAGTTACATCTTTTTATGAGCGAGTTACATCTTTTTATAAGCAAGTTACATCTTTTTATAAGCAAGTTACATCTTTTTAAAAGCGAGTTACATATATATAAACACGAGTTGCATTTGACATGCTTGAACGCGACTTACATATATTTACACGTAAAGTTACATATTTTTACACGTAAAGTTACATATTTATACACGCGAGTTACATATTTATACACACGAGTTGCATTTGACCTGTCTGAACGCGAGTTACATATTTTTTTACGTAAAGTTACATATTGTTACACGTAGAGATACATATTTATACACACGAGTTGCATTTGGCCTGACTGAACGTGAGTTACATATTTTAACACGTAAAATTACATATTTTACACGCAAATGTTAATATGTTAAAATTACATAGGCAATATTGGTCTCATTTGAAAGATCATGAAAAATAAAAAATGTTGATATAAATTTTATAAAAATCGGATCAACTAATTTGCTCTACCCGAAACCTGCTTTGAATTCATCCGAGATCTTCACATTTTGCTCTACAGAAATCTTAATTTGATACACCCAAGATTTCGCTCTACCGAAATCTGCACTTTCAAAGTTGCCCGAAATCCTTTCTTCGAAGTTCACCCGAATTCTTGAAAAAGGAAATACCCGAGATTTGAAACTAAGCTTCTTCCGAAATTCCACTTTGCTGCTTCAACAATCTACGTGTCTTGCTTCACCAGATTTTCAATTCAAGGGGCGCCACTTACAATATCACCTCACCAAACCCACACTACAGAATTTCTATCCCTCCCATAATCCCTTTTCCAAAATCTACCTACGTGATATCCTTGCCCAATTTCCCCACACCCACTACCCAAAACCACCTGGTAACAAGCCATCTTATTCCAGCCTGTAATCAAGGATTCGCAAAACACCCGAGATCAGGAAAATTTCACTTGCCCGAAATCATTATTTTGATGTGCCGAGATCTTTAATTCGAAAACAGTACGAAATCTTTAATCCTCCGAAATCTATACTTCGTATCTGCTCAAGTTTCAGAATTCATAAGCTTACCCGAAGTTTCTCAAAATCGAGTATAACCATATTTTAAAAGATTTCGAGCATTACATTTTGAAAATTTCGAAGCATAAATTTCGTGCCACAGGATCTCCGGCCTCACTTCTTCAAGCTTCACCTAAAATTAAAATTGTTTGAGCCTCACCCATGATCATAATCTCCGGCCCTTCTTAATCCGAACAGTTCTCGCCCCACGATCAATCAACAATCAATGATGAGTTCCTACTCCAACACATCAATGCTCTCTAGCAACGGATCAACCATTGTATCTAACAAGTTCCAAGTAAGTACTTCTTATTCGAATAAAATAAAGGAACTTGAAGACAGACTTGCTAACAACCAAAGTGTTCTGGAAAATCTAGCGAGAGAGAAAGCTTTAGAATCTGTTCGCTTAAAAGATTCACGAGATAAAGTCAATAGTTTAGAGTCTGAAGTAGCTAAACTTAAGCAAACTGTCTGTGAATTAACCAAGGAATTGGATGAAAACAAGCAAAAATGTTCTGAAGTGTTACCCGTTTTGAAATAATTAACAAGGAACGTTGTCGTCTTTAAAAAATGACACCTATGCTACTAGACAAATTCCTCTTTCTGATGACTATATATGTTGCCCTCTCTCCTCCTGAAAATCAAACTGTGTCCAATAGGGAAGAAGCCTCCACTTCAAAGGTTTCTGAACCATATTTTCCTACGATTATAAAGAAAATGGCTCATCTCCATTCTTCTTTTGAAGAAGAACGAGAAAAGTTTAAAACTGAAAAGGAAAATCTTTTGAAGCAAATTTCTGAATTAACTAATCAATCCTCTCAAGGCTCGAAAACTTCTGAAAATCCCCTTTTCGAAAAGAAGAAAAGGAAAAATCATTTTCCAAGAAAAAAGGACTTTACCTCATCTCATTCTCAAAAAGCTTCTAAAGAAAACGGCTCATCCTCTCACTCTCATTTAAAAAAACCGAAAGGTAACGTTCTCAATAAGCACCAAGAGAAGAGGATGGCCTGGATTTTTAAACAAACTCAAAAGGAGGCTGCAAGACTCAAAATGTTTTCTGAAAAATCAAAATCTCTTTTTACCAAGCCTTGTAGTAATTTCAAAGCTTCTCGCTCAAATTCAAGCATCCAATCACCTAGTTCTGACACAGACAAGTCTTCTAAGTCTTCTACTGATGGGAAATCCAAACAGAAAGATTTAAAGCTTCTACCTATGATATTTGTGATGATGTTCAACTGAAATATCCTCTCAAGGTTTATTCAGTCAAACATTTGAAACGTCTTTCAAGGGAGAAAATCTTTACTTCTCAAAATCATATCCCATCATTCACCTGCCCTGAAACTGTTATTGTTCAAAAATGGATTCCTAAGTCAGAATTACAGTCATATAGCTCTCCCAAAGCTTCAAAAGAGACTAGTTTAGGAACAAAAATAAAATAAAAATTTCACAATTTGTGTTATGCGAGAACGGACGTACCCATCCTTAAATGGGTACCAAAGGTTTCTTAATTCTTTGCAGGTGTCCCTCATGTGTGGTACCTGATATGTTTGCTCCACACACATGATGAGAAATTGAGCTGCTGAGCAACAACATCATGACTTCCGAGTAACTCAGCTCAGAACCCGCTCTGCAGTTTGGCTTCTGTGTAAATCAGCTCAGAACCCGCATTACAACAGAGTTTCTAGATACATTAGTCTAGAACCCGATGTCACCGAAAGGCTTCTGAACACCTCAATTCAGAACCCACACACAAACGCAAGACGTATCATACGTCAAGGGGAAGCGATAAAGAAATCTTTTTCTGAGCTTCCAAACAAGTTCAACAAGGCTCCCAGTGCACCGATTCAAGACAAAACATTCTTTAAGGGGAGCAAGTGTGCACATTATGGAGGAGAGTGCTGGCGTGTATACTTCTCCACTGAGCTGAAAATCAACAAATGCACACATCAACACCGACACACGCCAAGAACAAAGAACAAAATACATATTCTGAGGAGGAGTGTTTCTTTTTCACTCCACTAGGTGCCATATAATGAAGAAAACACATTCCAAGGGGGACTTTCAATCTTATTCCCTATGTGACAAACAACAACACCTGCAAATTCTGAGGAGGAACATCTTTATTTCCTCCTGGCGCCATACAATGACCAATGCAAGAATCAACTCAAGGATGCACCTTTTGAGGGGGAGTTACAAAGTTTTCTTCCCAAGCGCTAAACAACGTCAAATGTATCCTACCGAGTGCTCCTATTGAGGGGGAGCAAAGAGATCAATAAGAGATAAGTCTCAATGGCTTAGTAAACCCAACTAAGCCTACCCAAGAGACAAAGTCGAGAGTGAGTGAGTGAACACTATGAGAGTGAGGAAGCAGAAGGCTCAACTGAGCATGAAAACAATATTCAAAGACAATTCTGCTACCTCAATTGAGCGATCAACTGAAGAATCAATCCTAGTCACTCAAATACTCCGGACAATTCCCCATAGGTACAGGACTGAATTTATTCATATCCCAGATAGAAGTCGCTGCATCTTGTCCAACAGTGCATGCACAACCTTAACCTAGACCACTCATCTAATTCCCAAAAGACAGGTGTTTCACCAAATTTCACGGGGAACCTCATTATTTATCACCGTCTCCTTCTGAGATGACTGATACTGACTATAGTGGCCCACATCCCCACGCCATTGAACATTCATTGATCACGTTGTGTCTAGTTTTCACACTCCCAAATGTTTTTAATTTTCTAGGACACAGACACATGTTAGAGTCAGTTGCTAGTCTTTAAGACTTGCGAGAACTTCCATATGACTCATCTATTATGGATGTAGATCGATGATTGGATGGAAGTCCTGATGTTGCAACATAGAAATCACCAACATTTTCAGGCCATTGCTGTAGAGTTCATCTCTATAGTGATGAGAACGGGTGGCTACGCGACCCCGAGGGGCTACAAGTTTTCTTTGTATATCCTTGTGATCATGCCATAATGACCAGAGTGACATCTACTATGGATGCCTCACGACGATCAGTCGGAAGTCCTGTTAGAGCTTTACCGTTTCTATCATTATATACAGGCCACACATCAGTCTTTACATTGATGTTGTGATAATGGAACACCTCAGTGTATCCGGACGTTTAAGTTTTCATTTTGCAGATTTAAAGGACGAACACAGGCATGACGTCCCGACTCATCGGATCGCCATGAGGGGGGGAGAGCGGTCCAAATGCTTATGAAATTTCAAAGATCATTCTCGGATGCTTCTCTCCTCCAAAAACATACATCTGCCCACTCAGCTTCAAATCAAATGGTCAGCATATACTCATAAATCAATGATCATTTTCCGTTGTGCCACCGAAAAGTTCTCCACAAAAGCTTTCACATCAAATAGTCGAAAAGACTACATTCTGAAGGAGACATAAGTCGGATACTCAAGAACTGAAGAAGAATCACGTGTGCGCCGCAAACTTTTCAAGAACATTCATTCTAGAGGCACCATCGGATTTCATTCAAGCTGAAAGGCAAGGACTACATGCAAGATTTTGAAGATCCGTAAACCCCCCGACATCAAAGATCGAATTACCAAGAAGACAACAAAGGGGAGATTGCAAGGAGTTCTTCACGAAGTCTTTCTAAGAACACAAAAGAAGCTGATATCCTCTGAAGATTAAGACTCAAAGATAAACCGTGCTTCATCGACAATTGAACACAAAGGGGGAGAATGTTAGGAATATTATTTATTGTGTTCAATATATTTGTAATTTATTTATTGAGTCTTTGTATTTAATTAGATTAGCTGAGAGAGAATTAGGCCCAATTGATTAAGTGCTCTAATAGCCCACACGCATGCCTAGTTGCTTCCTAATTATATTAGGTAGTTCGAGTCTCTCACCTATAAATATAGGTTGAGATGGCCGAAATACTAGAGGGTTTCACAATTAGAATAGTCATATCATTCTCGAAGCTCTCTCTCTAGAAATCGAAGTCTCTACACATTCTATTCCGCATATTATTCTATGTAGAGCCAGTAGACTAGAATTTCTCTCTCTAGCTTATACGTTCGAGTATCGTGTAATTGTTCTTCATGGATTCATCATTCTATATACACGGTATACGTTATTTGTGAAATTTCTCTTCTGCTATTTTAATTCTTCCAATTATTATTAGATTATTCGACTGTTGAAATCTGGACATACTTCACACAGTTCCGTTATCACAACATCAATGTAAACACTGATGTGTGGCCTGTATAAAATGATAGAAACATTACAACTCTAACAGGACTTCCGACTGATCATCGTGAAGCATCCAAAGTAGATGTCACTCTGGTCATTATGACATTATCAAAATGATATGCAAAGAAAAACTTGTAGCCCCCGGGGTCACGTAGACGCCCGTTATCATTACTATAGAGATGAACTCTTTAGCAATGGCCTGGAAATGTTGATGATTTCTATGTTGCAACATCAGGACTTCCATCCAATCATCAGTCTACATCCATAATAGATGAGTCCTATGGAAGTTCTCGCAAGTCTTGAAGACTAGCAACTGACTCTAAAATGTGTCTGTGTCCTAGAAAATTTAAAACATTTGGGAGTGTGAAAACTAGACACAACATGATCAATGGATGTTCAGTGGCATGAGGCTGTGGGCCACTGTAGTCAGTATCAGTCACCTCAGAAGGAGACAGTGATAAATAATGAGGTTCCTCGTGAAATTTGATAAAACATATGTCTATTGAGAGACAAATGAGTGGTCTAGGATAGGGTTGTGCATGCGCTGTTGGACAAGATGCAGCGAATTCTACCCGGGATCTGAATAAATTCAGTCCTGTACCTATGGGGAGTTTTCCAGAGTATTTGAGTGACTAGGATTGATTCTTCAGTTGATCGCTCAGTTGAGGTAGCAGACTTGTCTTTGAATATATATTTTTTTCGCTTAGTTGAGCCTTCTGCTTCCTCACTCTCATAAAGTTCTCTCGCTTACTCACTCACTCTCGGCTTTGTCTCTTGGGTAGGCTCAGTTGGGTTTACTAAGCCATTGAGACTTATCTCTCATTGATCTCTTTGCTCCTCCTCAATAGGAGCACTCAGTAGGATGCATTTGACGTTGTTTGGCGCTTGGGAAGAAAACTTTGTAACTCCCCCTTAAAAGGTGCATCCTTGAGTTGATTCTTGCATCGATCATTGTGTAGCGCCAGGAGGAAATATTGATGTTCCTCCTCAGAATTTGCAAGTATCGTTGTGGTCACCTGGGGAGTAAAGTAGGAAGCTCCCCCTTGGAATGTTCTTTCTTCATT